GTTATCTTGCTACTGACACCTCTAGGTGGTGGTGTTGGGGGCGGGGTCTTGAGTCTCACCTCTCCAGGTGGAATCCCAACACACAGTCGATCCACGGCCGGTTTCTGTTTCCTCTTGAACACCTGCAACGCGACACCAGTTCACACAAGTCATGTGAATCTTCACATCAATATGAATAGAAACATAAACAACCTAATATAAATATAAAAGTCATTTCAATCTCTTAATTGTTGAATTGACAAAAACTCACCGTGACAGAAACTATAAACTTATTCCTGAATATTATTTACTCAATGTTTTTTTATAAAAAAATTATTTCAATGGCTCAGGGCGTGTCGTCAGGGCATGTTGCGTTTTAAACTTGTGTAACTTGTAGACGAACATCACAGTGTATTTTTGTGTGTATCTTGAGTTTTTTAAACAGGTTCTCCATCATATTTTATTAGGGTCAAACTTTTCCTCTGTAGCTTGTGAGATCACTGTTGCGTGTGGTCCTGCTGCCACCGTTATTTTACCCAGAATGCTCAATGACAGTGTGACATCCTTGTGTGGAATGATGACGTACCTTCGTGAGCTGTCGCAGCTCCAGGATGTCTCCACGGCCAAGGCCGTGGACAATCTTCTGTCTCTCTCTGGCTACGTCCTCATCCTCCTCTCCCAGTGGAGCGAGTTTAGTCAGTTTACTGACGGAGCTGCAGACACACAAACACGAGGTCACATCACCAGAACAGCTTTACACTGCAGTGTGTCTGTGTGTGTGTCTGTACCTGGGCTTTATGAAGAACCTGTACTGGATGAGGATGGTGATGATGAAGAAGACCACTCCCTCCACTGCCATGGCGAACAGGTTTTTTCCGACCATATCCCACTCGAGAGGAGAGCGTAACCTGTTCTCCCCTGAAACACAACATTTACACACCTGTTACACAAGCACACGGAGGAGGTTACAGGAGCGACAGCAGCATACAGGACGTGAGTGTATTACCAAATCTCTCGAGGGCATCGGCCATGGCCTGGTTCTTCACCATGTCGATGAGTCCTCGACCGAGACAGAAGTGCGGGAAGATGAGGAGGACGTTCTTCAGGATGTCGTTGATTCCTCCGATCTCCTGTAAATGAGACGCTATTAACCACAAGCGGACGTTTGCTAATGTGTGTTTATGTGTCTCTGTGACGACTCACGTTGTTTCCAAACAGCTCCATGACGAAGGTGGAGATGCTGCCGTTTATGCCGATGAGGATGTTGACGCTCGTGAGAACGACGTACGCCGTGCTCGGGATGGTGAAGAAGAAGGAGGCGGGGTACATGAGCGGTGTGATCGACCAGCTGCGAAGAAAACGAAAAAGAGGAGAAAGAAAAAGATGAACAGTCAGAACATTCATAGTCACGTTTGTGTAGTACGGTGTAGTGTGTTACAGTGTGGTATCGTGTATTGCAGTGTAGTACCCGTACGGGCCACATTGCTCAGTCCATAGAGATTTGGCTTGGGAACCGGAGGGTGGCCGGTTCAAGTCCAGCATGGACTAATAGTATCGAAGGTGGACTGGTGGCTAGAGAGGTGCCAGTTCACCACCTGGGCACTGCTGAGGTGCCCTTGAGCAAGGTACCAAACCCCCCAATTGCTCGCAAGGCGCTTCTCCGGGTCTGCCCATCACTCTACCATCTCTCTCCATATTTGCATGTCTATGAGCCCTTGTGTGTGTGTGTGTGTGTGTGTGTGTGTG